GGGGTGGGGGGTGGGGGTCCATGCCATCGTGCAGGAAGGGGTCATAGGGTGGCAACAGCACGCAGGAAATACACTCAAGAACAGGACAGTAGCTGTGTGCCTCAATCAAGGCAACGCATTTGAATCAGCCTGCTGAGCGCCGCACCCCTGGGCCGCAGGGGTGATAGTGGTGGCCTCCGAAATCAAGAGGCCGCCATCGGTCGCACGCTGGCTGTAGTACAGGGCCGCCTCTGGGACGGGGACCGTGTTGATCGCACGGCACCTGTGGGGCCGGGTACATTTGTGAGAGGTGGTGGTGCGGTCAGCGGTTGACTGCTTGAAGACGGTCAAACCCTGAGTCGAATGCAAGAGGCCCGGTGCGACCGAGGCCAGGCGCAGCCTGAGCCTACTGGCGTGCCTACTGGCACACTCGGTCGAAACGACCCCCGACCCTGCCGTCAACACCATCTTGGCATGCTGGGACAGTGCCCTGCTAGTCTCCTGCAAGCCCGAGACGCCAATGCAGCGCACTTCTGCCCTCGGGCGGGCGGTGCTGCATCCTGCCCTGTCGATGGGCCCGCTGACATCTGCCGCCTGTCACTTTGCAGCAGGCGGTGGACCCACAGCTCCCTCTGGTCACGCGTCCCAAGCCCCATGTGCATGTAGATGTACCCATGTGCGCCCCATGCGCCCATGCGCACACCATGCACATGCACCTGGAGCTTCCCACCCCAGCATTAGCACCCCACTTGCCGAGTCAGGGGTGCATAGACGATGCGGTGCTTCAGCTCCTTGCCGCCGACCTTGAAAGGCTGGAACAGCACATCTGCGCTCACAGAAGACATGGCTGCAGCGCTGATGACAACGGCCTGAGGCTGAGGGGGAATCAATGGGGGGGGGGGGCGCAGCGGCATGAGGGCGCGCCAGTGGAGTGAGCACACCTACTCCAGCCCAGCATCAGGGCTCCTGCTGCGGCAGCGCTGTGAGCGAGCGCGCGCGACGCATGATCAAAGCGCTCGTGCACGTGCTCGCCTGGCGAGTGAAGGAGAGCGCAGCGACGTTCTGCGACGTTCTGGAGAGGATGCTCGATCGAAGTGTGCAGCGCTAGGTAGTGCAGAGAGTTTGATTGGTTTGAGAACATGCATTTGTTGTTTTATAAGTGAGTCGCAGCTGAATCATACGGTGCGCAAGAGCCCAAACGGTGGGGTTACGAACATCCTGCCTTCGTCAAAACGAGTGAGGTGTGCCGCACGCAGTGGTCGTGATGGAACAAGTAATAATATGTGCCAAGATAATTGCGCCCCACTGCAGGGTCTGACAACCCGCCCGCCATTCGGCGTCAACATCCGACTGTCTGCACATGCATTATGAGTACGTGCCCGACAGCCGCAAACCAGCACCCTGCACTGGACGTGCTCGTCTGCAGCTGCAGCAAACAGCAACGAATAATGACTGTGGGGTCAAGCTTGAACACGACCACAGGGCGGCCAGGGGCCGTTCAACAGTGACTGCAACACTGCACCTGCACAGCTTCGCCACACATACGATACTTCTCCCCATAACGAGAAAAATGACCATTACATAAGCGATCAAGTGAGTAGTATCTGCATGCATGGTCAGTGATTGCACAGGGCAGGGTTTGTCAGCTTGAGGGTGGCGGACTGCACCAGCGACGCACTGGAAGGAGCGGCAAAAAGTGCAGGCCCCAACAGCTCGACACATCGTGCCGCAGACTGCCCACAAACCCACAAGGAGCATGCAGGGAGGCGTGGCGGCGCAAGGCTCAGAGGGGCACGCGCTTGTGATGCATAGGCATGGCTGTGCATATGCCTTCCTCCCGAATGCAGGAGGGTGTGCGGGGCGGCAAATATGCTGCGCCTGGCCCCGAGGCCCCCACACTTGCGTTGTGTCAACCCGCGCAGTGGCCCTTGCGCTGATCTACTGCCTGCGCCCCAGAGGACCCCGTCAACACACTGCAAAAAGACGATGCGGCCCCACATCAGGAATGGCAGCGCTCCCGGCGCTGGGTTGGGAAGCAACATCAAACTTTCGTACGTTTGTGCATATGTGTGTGCAAAAGCGCTCCGCCAAAGTGAAGTCACCCCGCCACAGCACACTTCGAACACACCGCGCTGCTCGCGGCCCACTTGGCCGCTGTTCTCTGGGCGGGGATGGTGGTGGTCGCACCAGCCAACTCTACAGCCCACCCAGCGCCAAGCGTGCGCATGGTCGAGGTGGCGTTCGCACATGGTAGCATGCTTGCAAAACGCCAGGGCGCCCGAGGTGAGAAAGTTGGCTGGCCGCATGCTTGGTGCCACCACAAACGGGAAGAGTGTCCGGTGGCGAGACGCAGGTGCTTTCTCACGTGCCAGTGCTTGGTTGTATACAGCTCGGCTGGGGGCAGGGCCAACCCTTTGTTCGTGTCGCTTGCCTACGTGTTCAGCAGCCGGAACCATGGATCAAACAAGAAACATCAATTATCGGCGGCCCCGACCGCCCTCGTGCCGTGCAGGCGGCACCTTGCATTGCCGCCTGCGCTGCACCCAGCGCTCTGCCGCGCCGACGCACACTTGTGCGCGAGCAGCAAAATCAATTAACGCACGGCTCCGTGCGGGATAAGCGCAGGTGAGGGGCTCTTTCTGTGAGTCTGTGATTCCGTAGTAATCAAGCCAAGATGCGTGGGGCTCGCCACGGTGTCCCTCCACTAGAGGGCAGCAGCGGCGTGTGTGCCATGCGCAGGTTTGGGGGTCCGTGGCTGTTCATGGAGCAAGCCCACGACGCAGTGCAGGCGCGCTGGCGCATGTGAAAGGAGCGCCGTTCCCACCCGCAAACGAGCACGAGGCCTCCCGTGTTGCCTTTGGCCGAAACGGGGCGGCACAGCGCAGCCCCGGGAACGAGCGCGCCGCCAAACGACCGTCGCCGGGGTTGCGGCCGGCGCAAGCCGGCAGCGGCGGACGCGGGTATGCGGTCATTGTGATGCAGCGAGCCTCGTCGTGGCACCAGGCGAAAAAGGTCGCAGTGTTGCTTCGCCTCCCAGGCAGCATGGTTGGGGCAGACGCGGCCCGGACTGGCCCTGGCGGCAACGGAGAGGGGCAACAGTTGGCACAGCCAGGTGCCAGCAGCAAGCAGCGGCAAGGGGCCCTCGCTTGCAGGCGTGCCATGCCGGCCAGTGGCGGGGCTCCTGCTGCCAAGGCACGGGGTGGAGCGCACTCTCGACTGGGCGTGACTCGCGCAACTCAGCCTGTCAATCATACGGTCGCTCACAAAAGCGCCCGCCGCACTCCCGCTTCCAAAAACACAGCACAGCCCCACAAAGGCGCCGTGCGTGCACGGGCCACCGGGAGGGGTCCTGGCGCATGGGGTCAACTGCACGATCTGATCCAGATCAGTTTGCTACTCGGAGAGTAGATCATCGGCCGCCGACATCGACCCCTGCCTGGTCCTGGCCCGCCCGCCCGCCGCCTTGGTCGCCAGCGCCGCCGCCGCGTCCGCCGGCCCCACGCCCCCGCCGCTGCCGCGCCTGCGCCGCAGCGGCCCCTTCGCGGCGCACGCGTCGGGCGCGCCGCCGGGAGCATCCGGCAGGTCTGCGCCGCCGCCGCTGCCTGCGCGGGCGAGGCCGTCCAAAGACCCCAGGCTGGCGCTGTAGCTGAGGCTGAAAGCGCTGTCGCTGTGCCCGTGCGCCAGCAGGCGCCGCGCCGCGCGCGTCAGCGGCGGCTGCGGCTGCGACTTCTGCTCCGTCGCCGCGGCCAGCAGCTCGCCCGACGGCGACCGCGAGGCGGCCCTCTCCGCGGCCGCCGTCCCATCGACCTGCCCGCCTTCCGCGGCAGCCCCGCCGGCGCCGCAGCCGTCGACCAGCCGCCACACGCCGGCCAGCACCTCCACCTGCCACTTCAGGTCGAAGAGGAACGCGGCGTGCTTGCCCTGGCGGTGGATCATCATGGCCGCGCCCGTCTCGTCTCGCACCATCGACTCCACGTGCATTACAGGCACCAGGTCGTCGCGGCCCGACAGCACCACCAGGCACTTCTCAGGGAACTGCAAAGCACGAGGGCGGGGGCGGCGGTGGATTACATCAGTCATTCCTGCGCTGCGGCCCTCGCGTGGCGCTTGCATCAAGGCCGCGCACGCGCTCCGCTTGCACCAAGGCCGCGGCGAGGGCGCGGGCGCGCTGTCGATTCTCCTTGGCGGCGCGCGCAGCCGCTCGGGCGCCAGCCCTGAGAGCCGTGAGCCCCGTCAAGAGATCGCAGCCGGGCGCCCGACGCCTGATTCAAAATGCCGCCAGATCGCACCCCAGATCACGGCCCAGATCACGGGGCCTCCCAGATCTCACCATGTCCGGCCAGAGGTTGTACTCGCTCCAGTAAAACCGCCGCGCCACCGCCGCTGCGGTGTGGATGTCCCGCGAAACGTTCCAAGTGATGGGTCCGCTCTTGGTGGCGTGCGGCCTGAGCACAAACGACCGGATGAGGTGGCCGCTCCACATGCACATGCAGACGGGGTCCACGAACGCCATGGCGGCGACGCGGTGCGGCGCGGTGCGCTGCAGTCGGGCCATGAAGAAGGTGCCGAAGGAGTGGCCGACAAAGGCGGCCTTGGGGATGGCGTGGGCGTCCAGGATGCCGAGCAGCACCTCGGCGCACTGCGTCAATTTTGTTGCAGGGAGATTGGCGGTTTACGTGACTCGCTGTGCTTAAAGGGCGAGACGAGGATTAGCAAGACACGCCAGGACGCCGGTTGAGTGATGGGGGTGCACGACGGCGTGCAGGGTTGCATGAGGGCTGGCACCCGCTGCTGCCGCCGCTGTTGCCGCTGCTGCGGCCTCATGCACAGGGCCCGCCCTTTGTAATCCAGGCATGTCGCCGGCTCCATGTGGGCTCGCACGTCCAGCTCTTTCCTGAAGCGCCCAGCCCCCACCATGCTGCAGTTGCCCAAGCCAGCCCCGCACCTGGTCAACCGTAGGGATGAAGCTCGTCCACCTGAGCGCCAGGTGCGGCCACTCGATCGCCACCAGCGGCCGCCCCAGCGCCGCCGCCTTGAGCACGAAGTGGATGTATGGCAGCAGCCCCAGCCCCACGCCGTGGCAGAACACGAGCGGCGGCGCGGCCTCGTAGCCGCCGGCCGCGGCGGCCGCCGCCGCGGCCGCGGCCGCGTCGCTCGCCGGCGGCAGGCCGAGGGTGTAATACAGGAAGCCGCCGCGCCGCTCGCAGCGGAAGCCGGCGGCGGCGAGCACGGCGTGCTTTATAGCTCCAAGGCCCTCTGCAAAAAGGTACCACCAGAGCGGCTTGGGGCAGGCGCGGAGGGGCTCGTGGAGGTGGGACATGTATTTGATGTCTGGGTTGAAGCCCTCGGCGTAGTCGTTGCCCCACTTGGATTCGATGTGGCCGAGGATGGTGTCTGGGACATCACCCTCGCCCGCAGCGTCGAACTCGGCGCTGGGGGTGGGGGGAGGGCGGAGGTGGGGATGCCAGCGGGTCTCGTTTTGGGGGAGTGGAGGGCGGCTTGAATTTGCAGCGCCACATGCACCTGCTGTGCGGCTGTGCTTTCAGCAAGCGGTATGCATAAGAGCGGCCCGGTGTGCGCTGCCGACGACCGCGCACCACCCTCCCGCCTGGGGTGGCGCGGGCAGCTGCGCACGGCCAGCTGGCGGCCTGGGTGCGGCCCCGCTTGCGCACGGCCGCACACCGCTTCTGGCGTGGCTGCTGCTCGGCGCGCCCTGCGACCGGCCGGCCCCTGCTTCTTCGCGCGCAGCCGCCCGGCAGCAGCTGTGATGCGGTGCCCAGTCAGCCACTCACGCTCTGCGGTAGCCGAAGCCATAGGCCAGCAGGTCCCGCACGTTCTGCCGCTTGATCTGGTCAATGGGTGCGTAGTCAAACCACCGGCCGACCATGTCGTAGGACCGGCTGTCCCGTGCGATGATGCCCATGGAGCGGCGGAAGTGGTCAAAGGTCTTCAAAGTGTCGTGGCCCTTTGGGAATTCGTAGTGCTCGTCCGGAACGCGGTCGAGCACGCGCTTGCGCAGCAGCCAGACGAACAGGAACGCGCCCTCGAGGGCCAGGTACCACGGCCAGAACCGCCGCGCCGCGAGCAGCGCCGCGCCGGCAGCGAGCGCGACGAGCGCGCCGCTGGCGACGAGCCCGAGGAGCGCGCGCGCGTGCAGCGAGGCCAGGCGCCGGCGGTAGCCCGGCGGGAGCGCCGCGTCGGCGACGGCGGCGCTGGCGGCCGCGGGGTCCTGGGCGTCAGCTGTCGGTTTCACGCCCATTGCGCAATCGTGGGCGCCGCAGGGGCGGGCTGGCGCGGGCCCGGCAGGGGCAGCAGTGCCGGCGCGCAAGCTCGGGGCGCGGCGTGGGGCGCGGGACACCCGGGAGAGGGCGAGCTGCGGTGCGCCGGCATCGGCATTGGAGGTATTAGATGACGAACGGGCGCCTGCACACAACCGTCTTCAACAGGATTCGGTCGAACACAACACTGCCCACAGCCAAGGGTGGGCTAGCAGGAGACCACCCTCCGCACCTGTGCTAGCAAGCTCCGAGAGGTTGCCTGGAACCCTGTACTGCTGCCGCCACGCCCGCCTACAGTCCCGGGCCGCGGGGTGGTAATGATGAGGACGCTGGCTTGATCACGCGCGAGTAGGGGTGCCGTTGGTGGACAACTTACAGATGAGGGGATTGTGGCACGAGTGCGGGGGCGCTGGTCAAGGTCAAATAAGGTCTGCTGAGCCGCGTGTACAATTACGGTGTTTGGTGTCAAGGTCCACTGTGCTCCCAAACACTCGCTATGTGCATCGCAAGTGTGTGGCAGGCATTTAGATGAAATCAATTTTACACCGCGTATGTCACACGATAGGTGTAGAGCGCCTTCTTGGGAAATCCCATTGGACTCGTTGCGTTGCCGTTGAGCTTCGGGCGATGCCACGCACGCAATGCAGGAAAAAAAGTAAGCCAATTCTTATTGTATAGGTACAGAGTGAGAATATTGCAACGCCGATGCACACAACGCCGCTGACCGTGCACGTGCACAGTTGACCGATTGCTTCAAATCCCACAATGAGCAGG